GTTCAATTGAAATTGCAAGAGTTATCTCCCCCAGTGTGTTGTACGTCTTTAACTTCCAACTATATCTGGAGGGCTAGGTTTCAACAGAAAGAAAGAAAGAAACTTAGTTTGAGAACCCGTCATATATGATGCCACTTCTCCGGCTAGAGGCTCGCTATACAGCTACTCTGCAGTTATGCAAGTTATCGCCCATCTTGTTATGCATATTAATAGAGATGTTTCTGAATATGAAAGAAATCCGAATGTGAAAATGAATATGAAACGAATCTGAATCGGAGGGATTCCGATCCCGATTTGAAAATAAGACATTTTAAATTTTACACTGGGAATATGATTACTGAAGTTTTGTCTTTGTTATATCAATCAATAACCTGTATAAAATCATTTACATGTTTGTCTTTGCCCCCCCCCCCCCCCCCCCCAACATACACATACAACAAATATCCTGCAAGAAATAAGTTTATGATTAAATCGTACTAGTATTACTAGATGGATGTAACACAGTGAAAAAATAAGAGTCTATCAAGTTAGCTAGATTTTTTTTCTCGTGGGCTAGGGAGTGTGTTTGAAGTGTCAAACGTGAACAAGGGATTTTTCTTAGGGAGCGATCGGGGGGGGGGGGGGGGGGGTATTAATAAACTCCCAAAGGCAGTGTGATTTTTTTTCCTATCCATGTGGGTTTTTGCAAGTCCCTTCGACCATATTACGAGAGATACGTAATATCCAAGGGAGGGGTGTGTGTGAGAAGTTGAGAAGTTCATATTTGTTTGCTTGATAACGTACAATTTTATGACTCAAAAAATCCGGAGGGGGAGGGGGGCTACTATGACACTTTGCTCACTTGATCGCTCCTGATCGGCTAATCAGTTCAATTAAGACGTCCAAATTAATAATATTTAATAATATGATAGGAGACGTGGGTGCCAGTCCCCCACCATTTTTATTAATTTTCGCATTATATTCTTTACAATATAATCCTGTCAAAATTACAGTTTGTCTTAAATAAACAAACTTTGAGTTTAGCCTCGTTACGAATTTTTTCGTTCAGTTGCTCCGATAATGTAGTTACACTCTACAGATAATATATATTACATACCTGATGTAGTAATTAGTATCTGATGTAGTAATTAGTATCTTATCACTTCATATGAAACCTACCAGTTTTGTATTATTGTATTTTAACTCACTAGATCTTCGTTACTTTATTGAGAAATGTGTTCAATTGCTCAACGAAGACAGGAGGAGGCAGTCAAAAAACTTTGCGATGTAGGAGACAAATTAAAGCTTTTTAATTACTAAATGTACACGTTAAAGCAAGGACATTTTTCGAGATATGAAAGGAAGCGTTTCAACTAGAAACTTGTAGATACATGTATCAATGTCAATGACCGAAAACTTTGGACAAATGTATATGTGGGATGCAAGAAAGTGCATGGCCATTGGGTTGTTAAAAAAAATCTGACATATTTTCAATAACATACCCGGTATACGTATAAAATATATATAAGATGACTTGTGCATGTATGAAGACATTTACTCAAATTAAGGTCCAGAAAACGATTCTTGCGAGGAACAAAAACTGTAAGCCAATGAAAAATACAATAATACTTCACGAGCAGGTTTCCCCGTGAATTGAAAGGGTAACCTGTTCTGTTATTCGGTCTATAGAATTTGACTTGTCCCATTTTTAACAATAAAAATCCCAGTGACAAAAGTATAAATACCATCAAGTATTTATTTCCCTTAATTGTTCTAACACATTTTAATAGCGTAATAAGGAAATATTTTCTTCTAATGTTTTTCTTAGTTTTTGATTCGGGATCGGTATCTCACCGATTCAGATTCATTTTCAGATTCGGATTCGATTCATATTCAGAAACATCTCTATTAAAAAACTTACGATTTATGTTCTATTATCTTTTGATGCATGTTCTATAATCTAGTGATGTATATTTACATGTAACATCTCGTGATATATATTCGAAATCTTGTGATGTATAGTTGAAATCTTGTGATGTGTGTTATAAAATCTAGTGATGCATGCAATAATTGCATTGTTGGTAATATGATGCAACAGTACCCTAATAAAGTAAGAACAATAATTCTTGGTTAGAAATAATTAAAGTATCCGTAACTGTGATCTTCATTGTGATGCACTTAACTTCACAAGTTTTATCATTGGAAAATTAAACTTAAAGTTTAAATTAGGTTACTAAATAAGACAGTATTCGCCACCAAAAGTGCATTCTCTTCTAATTAAGCTCTCTCAAACGACACCAAAATCATTAACCCTGTGACCATGACTGTGACCTATGTGCTAAAAATAGTTTTAAAGTTTCGAACTTTCGCCATAACTTTTCAACCATAGGAGACATAGACTTCATGTTTGATATGCATACTCCACTAATTAAGGTAGGACAAAACACCCGTGGATTCTATTTTAACCCATTTCTTACAAATTACTGGAGGAAAAAAGAATAATATTACTCTATTGACAACAATGAATGATCCCTGAAAGAAAAATAATAAGTTTCGGCATATTTGCTTTATATTTTGTGAAAAAATCAGAGAATCCTATATATTGGTCACTTGGGAGCTTACATTTTGCTATGTGTTTACGCTATCTAAGTGCAATAAACAAGCATGTAACAGTCTGTTATAAAGTGCAGCGCCACTTTTGTTCCATAAATAGTAGAGGGGTGATATTTGAACACATATATATAAGGAGTCTCTATTCTTCATGTACTACAAAGGTCAGGGTCATATCACGAGGTCAAAGGTCAAATATTGTGACGCCAACTACTAAATCTTTTGGGTTTTTTTGCAATTGAATTTTTTTTAATCGCCAAAATATCCTAAACCACCGGTTCAAATTTCTTTATTTTTACACATTTTATTGTAGGACCTATTTGAATCATTCTGTTGATTTTTAGTAAAATTTGAATTATACATTTTCTCTTAAGAAAACTTAAACTGTTGGATATTTACATGTGAGTTTTCAGTTTCTGATACAATGTATGTTCTATTTTACTCAATATTTTACCCAAATTTTCCAGTATCAATTTGACTTACTGATTTAAAAAAACAAAAAAGGTTATATCTATTTAACGTATCACACAAATTTGCAATATATAAATTGAAAATTCTAAAAAAAAAAAAAAAAAAAAAAAAGCTCATTCTCAAGTGTAATGTCTGTTTCGTAATCTTCTCACAGGGGTCTGATAGGCCATATTTCAGACTTTGTGATCAAGAAAGTGCGGTTGAATTTCTTTCATATCATGTATAAAGAGAGATTTTGTATCCAAGAACAAAACATCAAAGTTTCAGAAAAAATGAATATGGGGATAATTTGACCTATCTACATGTATTTGGTCCTACCTTAAGTTCTTTCAACCGACATCAAGGACAAGGACCTTGATAATAATAATAATAATAATAACAATAATAATAATAAAAATAATAATAATAATAATAATAATAATAATAATCTTTATTCAGGCATAGGCAATTTTGCAATGTACATGAACATCGAGGTGTAAGTATTATACACAATACAAAAATTATAGACTTAATATACATAATTCAAGAGAGAAGTTATAAAACAAGTTGAATACTAAATATTATTTTTATATATTTCAAATAAATATATGAGTATATTATATTAAATATGCCTAAATCATGGATAGCCAATTAAAGCCACTATGGCTTATTTCCAATAGGATCTATTTACATGTATTAAAATTGTTGGCATATGACAAATATTATATATATTTCTTACTATAAACAATAAATAGTATACTAGCTATAAACGAGATGGCTTTAAAAAGAAATCGTATTATGCAAAAGCATATAAAACTTAAGTACTTAATTGTATAGGAGGAAAGAACAGTTGAGCTATAAATCTAACATAGTATCTTTGACATTTTTCTTACGTTTCTCCATAAAATGATTTTGATCTCTTTTTTTGAATTTTATTTTACTTGTTATTGTATTAATCTGGTCAGGTAGAGAATTCCAATATTTGATTCCATTTTAAAATGTTTGACTCTCCATCTTTTTGAACCCTTGGCACTAAAAAAATGAAATTAATTTGACCTTTTAAATGTTTTGACACATTTCGCTTTAAATTGCTGTACATATAATCTGGACCTTTATGGTGAAAAATATTGTAGACAAGGTTGAGGTATAACTGACAAACTATACTTCTAATGTCAAAAAAACCTTTTTTTTCAAATTCGGTAACACTAACTCTTGATCTAGTTGAAACATCGAGAATGAATCTTATTCTGTACAACCTGCAGTCTATTTTTTTTTAGATAGACCTTCATACAAACAAGTAATAGCATAATCAATATGCCACTGAATTAAAGCGGTACACAATGATTTTCTTGATTGCATTGACAAACGTGATTTTTGTCTAATTTAAAAATTTAGGTCGTTGGTTTGTTTTGCTAATAATAGTTTCTACTCACCAGATAGTCAGTTATTAAAAAAAAATCCTAGATATCTAACACGATTTTTACACTCAATTTTGATACCATCACATACAACTGAAAAAGTGTTCATTTAATAAGAATTCAATTTTCAGAACCTTCTTTTCACATTCTGTTTATTCATATACATGTAATAGTATGAGTATCATAAAAAAAATTTCTTTCGTCGATCCCGAAAGTTATATTTTGTCTTTAACTTATTGTACTTATTTCAAATGATTAACAACAAAAATCACACACCCTACAACATCTCTAAACAGGTCTCTCTACACACAAAATAATGCTGACAACAGATGTTTCAAAAATACAACCAACATTAGTCTTTTGTAGGTTAAAAGATACGGGATCAGTTCATATCAAGCTTCCAAGAACATCACACAATAAGAGATGCTATTGAGTACTACATTTGTACATGCGTATTTTCTCCAAAAATATACCTAAATATTAGGCTCTAATGACATATCTTTTTAATATCACTTCTAAACGTTGGGTTCATGAAGGCATAAATCATAGGATTAGTAACATTATACACAAAGTACATATAAAAACAATGTCATTGTGGGTAACGGCACCTAGTGCCATCAACCAAGTAGGGAAAAAGGCAATGATAAAGACAACGGCAACAATAAATAACATTAATGCTGTCTTTATGTTTGCTATTGTATCGTGATCTTTGATATAGCGGTGATGATTTTTATGGGCCTGTTTCTGCTGCAGAGGCATCGCCTCGTCTGTATTTTCTACTGGTAGAGAAGAGACGCCATTTTCACGTACTTCCACCTGCAAAATATTTTGTTCTTTGGCGTTTTCGTTGTTGTCGTTAGCAGACAGGACAGTAAATGGCGGAGTTGGGGATGAGGCATTTTGTTTTTGGGGCTCTTTGAGAAAGGCCTGAAGACTAATGTTATTTATAGCCTTTTGTTTTCTTCTCTTAGATCTTCGTCGGGTGACGGAATAATAAATCATAGTATAAAGCAACAGCACAATTATCAGGGATATCAAATAAAACGAAGAATAAATTTTCTGCCACGTTATAAAGTAAGCCATGCCCACAATTATTCCTGGATAATTACATTGACCAGTGTATTCTTCCTGCTGATACGGTGTCGCTTCAGTGCAGTCTGAAAACTCCACATGGGATGGATCTGCATACATGTACACAGAATAGGATATACAGCTAAGTGTACCCAGAACACAGGCGAAGACTGTCAACAGGACAATCACAGCCCTGGCCCGAGTTTTATTCAACAGATGCAAAAATGGATGGCAGATGCAGAGATAACGGTCCACAGCAATGGCCACCATTAAAAACGCAGACAGGGGTACGCTGAAGGTCAGAAGAAACATGTAGATTTTACACAGAGCGTCGTACAGAATCATAAACCTAAGGTATATCATACACGCAGTATACGGTATTATAACAGAACAGGTCAAAAAGTCGTACACAGCTAACCCAAGAATGAAAACTGACGAGGTGAGCTTATCCTTTTTCTTCGTGTACACAAAAATGACAATTCCATTTCCTATGATGCCTATGACGCTGAATACGGCCAGCATGCCTATAACGATGAGATCGGAAGTCTTCAGTGGACATCCCGGTAAACCCTCGTCAGCACTGCAGTCAATCTGTTCCGTGTGACAGTCCGTGCTGTTCATTTTTCATGAAATACCAGCTCCTGAAATCATGAATAGATAATAATTACTCAGAATAGAAAGAGGTGCTATTTTCATGTATCCAAGTTTTTTTTTTTAATTTCACAAAGTAAACATGTTTTCATAAGTACTATTATACTAGTATATACTATCACGATCGTGATTTCAAAGGTATGAAGAGACCCAGGAATTTATGTTTATCATGAATTGAATTTTTTTTACAGAAATATATGGAGCTACATGTAACACACAGTATTCAATCTCAAAGTCCATAAAACAATACAAAATAGGAGCAAAGCAAATACGGACCCCCAAAATATCAGTAGTCGGATCAGGTGCCACGGAGAAGTGAGCATTCTCTGCTAACCGGTCACACCCGCCGTGTGGTCCTTGTCATGATCGGGAAAGAACGGTGAAATCCGTCGTCAATATGGTATACATAATGAACTAACAATTAGTATAAAAAACGTCAGTCAGCATTTGACTCAAAGATAAATTGCATTTACTGAAAAAGTCATTGTATCGACCAAAGAACTTACGAAATGAAGACTTTAACCAAGACTTCTGATCATGATATTCTTGTTTCATCAACTTGCTTGTCAATATATTGCAGATATATACTACATGTACTACAATATATTACAGATATTACTACTAAACAATTCTTCATCCACGAAATTAAATCCAAATGACTTCACATTTTTCCTAAAACCACGAAAATTTGACTTCTTGAAAACATTTGATTCTACAGTACATCAACAGAAATATTTCTTCTTTAGAAGTAATATAATATTGATACTCCGCGAATGATAACGTAAACATTCCTCTTTTATATAAAGAAATTGTAACAATGTTAAAAAATATCACATAGACTTAAAATGCTTTTATTTTACTTATTAAAATAAACTTTTTTCATTTTAAAATATTTTAGTATGGTGACTTTTTTTAAAGTGACACTTTATGTTCAGAACGCGGAAAGAGTCTTGTAAATTGAATTTGCACGCTTTCGGATATGAGTTTTATTTCCTGTTTTATTTATCTATCATATTAATCAATATAGATTAATTACATACTCGTGCGGGGTAGTCAAATTCCTTCCCGGGGCCAAGATTCACGGTCTAGGACTCGGCAAAGCCTCGCACTAGAATTTGAATCTTGTACCTTCAGTGGAATTTCACTAGTCTATCCCACATTCGTTTGAGTTTCTGATTGACAATATATATGTGGTTTTTGGAGACCAGGTATTCTAACAATCCATTGGAATACCCATGGGTACAAATTGCGCTCTGTGATAAGCAGACTTATTTTTAAATTCATATGAAGCAGAATTTATGAAAAAAATCTTATGCATGAAAAGAGGAAAACACTTGCTTGGCCTTCAACTCGACATTGAGATATATCGATGACTTATTCTCAATTCATAATGGTAATTTCCATTCCTACGTCGATTCGATATTATATCTTGGTGAGCTTGAGATAAAAGATACCACAGAGTCCGACACTTCTATTTCATACTTGGATATTTTACTTGAAAAAGACACTATAATGGAAATCTAACAACCAAGCTATATGATAAACGTGATGACTTTAACTTTTCTTTCGTCAACTTCCCTTACTTATGCAGCAATATACCTTCATCACCTGCATTCGGAGTATATATATCTCAGTCCATTCGATACGCAAGAGCATGCTCTACGTATGAAAAATTTCTAAAACGAGGTAAATTATTGACAAGCAACTTGATGAAACAAGAATATCAACAGTCTCGTTTGAAGTTATCATTTCGTAAGTTTATGGTCGATATAATGATCTTGTCAGCAGATACAATTTATCATTGAGTCAAATGCTGACTGACGTTTTTCATACCAATTGTTAGTCAAATACTTATACACTGAATTGAATTGACGATGGATTTTTTCCGTTATTTCCTGATAATGACAAGGAGCACACGGAGAGTGTGACCGATCGGCAGGGGATGCTCACTCCTCCATGGCACCTGATCCCACCTCTGATGCTTTGGGGGTCTGTGTTTGCTGTACTCTTATTTTGTATTGTTTTATGGACTTTGAGATTGAATACTGTTCGTTATCTCCATATCCTTCCTCGTAGTTATGAATGATTCTATTATTCTTATATCTCCGCTTGAATAAGTTTCTTAATTTCATATGCCATATGTCCTTTACCCTCCATATTTAAGTTCACAAACTCCCTGAAAGCTTTGCTACTTCCCTCTATATCTGCTAACTTCTAAGAACATCTAATTAGCTCTTTAGAATTACATTGTACAGTGTATATCGATTTGACAATTTTGTTCGTCTCTTGGACTGGAGAAAGTATAATTTAGGGCATTTATTATTAGACATTAATTATTCTTACAACACCTTTTATTAGATATCCCAGCTGTAATGAGATTATTTTTTTCCATTTTATCTCGTACCTTACACGGACTTTTTCTACTTGTCAACTTTTTTAATCATCTCCTCATATTGGATTTTTGTTAGGTCACCTGAGTAACTCAGGTGAACTATTGCTATCCGTTTTCGTCCGTCGTCGTGCGTCGTGCGTCGTGCGTCGTGTGTAAACATTTGAACATTTTCAGAGAAACATACTAGCAATCTAAACATTTCTTTTTTTAGCGAAAAAACCATAAGCGCCGATAATTCATCTGCATTGATATGTATTTTTACCGTAATATGGCAATTTTAGAGGTATTGGGCTTTGAAAAAATAAATTTAGGAATTAATTTCTAGACCAACCTAGATGGTTAATTTTTAAAAAAATTCTTATCTTGGTGACTTTTTACATTAACTTTCATTTACTCGAATGAAAAAGAAATCCCTAGCGCAGAAATTTAAAAATACGGAAAAAATGTGATGATTTGGCGCTTTTCCATCAAATTCCCATAGGGTCCAATTAATAGTAAGATAAAACAACTTTCCAGTGGCTATCCAAGTCCAACTTGCCCTTCATTGATAAACATAATATTTTGTTTCTGCGGTGATGGTTTTCACTAAGAGCACGAAATTAATTAGGTGTAATTTTTTTTGAAAATATGTGCATTTTAAGAAGATTTTTTCTCTCAATTAATTATTATTCCAAGTAATTTTTTTTTATCAAGTGATACTTTCTATCTGTTAATCACCCTGAAAAATTTATAAACTGTAAAAGTTTTAACTTAATACCTTACATATTTTTTGGGCTATTGTAAAAATTAGTTTTTGGATATGTTGACCTTTGACGAAACCTTAAGTTGTTGTTCCCGCCAAAGCTGCTGAAATATGAAGCCCACTTTTTTAAGTATACACTGTACATACAGTAATTTAGTGCTTATCAATTTATAGGAAAATTACTAAATATGTTTTTTTTTTCCTAATTATATCTGTTTTCGTGTTATAGTTTATTATTTTAACTATTGATTTTTATCCAAAGTTGTTGAACTGAACATGTTGAGCTTGACAGCTAGAGTTAAATGTGTTAAGAAATAAGCCATGGTTAAACCTAAAAGTGAAACAAAAAAGTAAAACATTTTTGTCTTTGTTTTTGTGTTTAGGATCTATAGACTTTTTTTACAGTGATATCCTTTTATCTACAATTGATATCTTTTTCAAAATTCAATACAAAACCAGATATCCCAAAGATTAAATTTCATACTAATTTTACAAGCTAAAACTATATAATTCAAATCTAAAACAACAAATTGAAATAAACAAAGTTGTTAAAATAAACGCCATTAATTCAAATATTAAGAGCAATATAAAAGAAGTTGTTAAAATGAATGCCATCTAAAAATTTTGGTTCGGTATTCGTTAATATTTATTATGACATTCCCAAATGCTTGGCACCACTCTCCTTCTTGAATAAATCTTCGAAACTGTCATTCATGATAGACTTTGTTATAAATAATTGAAGAGGTTTACACACTTTTATGGCTTTGTTTTATTTTAGATACATGTATAATAAAGAATATTTTTCTTACCGTATTACTAGCTGCTTTTCGGCGAATTTTGAACAAAATCTCAGATCTGTCTCTTTTGTAACAGCTAACGGGAGATTCCGCCGATCTTTGTGTGTGTTTCCTACTTCTCAGAAACAGAAATTTACATGTATATTAAACAAAGTGTTTATTATAAAGTCTCACTCTCGTGCTTCTGAAAAATATTTTGAGATGCATGCAGCCACTTTAAATTTGAAATTTTCTTCTGTGTGCAAAATTATATAATGGCAAGCTACGGAAGTCAATTTTGCACAAACCAGAACTTAATGACCTAGCTCCCAAAATATTTCTGAATTCCGCATCATAAATTAGATTCAATTTAACAAATTGTTGGTTGTTTTTTTTTTTCTTTGTCTTTTTTTTTTTTGGGGGGGGGGGGGGGGGGGGTTCCAATGTCCCTTTTAGTTGGTTTAATTTATTATACATTAAATAACTCTCAGTTGGTTTAGTTCTGTACATTTTATAACTTTACAAATTTCGGAGGGTTGGTCCAGACACCTTTCTCTCTCTCTCTTTCTATATATATGCGCTTGTAAAACATAACTTATTTGTATAAACTAAGAAATAAAAATGTTTAACTTAAGAAAATATTCACTATAAAAAATAACGAAAGCCCATTGAGCTCATGTGTGTGTACGTGTCAGTGTGTATGTTTGTTTGTTTATTGTTCAATTCAGGGAGCTGCCTAAAGTTGAATCTGTTTTAAAATAGGCCATTGTTAGTTCTATCCTTTGCTTGCTGATGCTGATCTTGGTAATGCTGTTTTTTTTAATGTTGATGCTAGCTCTATCCAGATGCTACATATGCTTATGCTGATGCTGGTTTATGTAACAAAAGTTCCCTGCACTGTATATGGAATTACATTTTTTTTCGATTTTTTATATATATTTTAATTGTTTGATCCTTAAATTAATTAATATTTATTCATTTAAAAATGAATAGATTTATTATAAAGTTCATTTAATAATTTATAGTCCCTATATAATCTATACAAGCGCATACACTTTTTTGCAGATTGTCTAAATATCATCGGGATCGAGATTCCTTTATTTGATAAACATATGAATACATTCGAATTTTCTCTATTACATTCCAGGAATCATTCTATGGTTCTTATCACATGAAATCATGGACGATGGTAATGTATTATGCTGTTGTTCGGCTAGAAATAACCTTTCCATTTTGCGTTTAGTAGCGTCTTAGTTTCATTGTAATAAATAACATATTTAAACAGACATGTCTGATTTATTTAAAGGTTTAATTGCTTTATTTACCTACCCAAAGCAGCTATTTTCAGATAGACTCTTCTAAATTAAACTTCTTACACAAGAGATGTATGTAAAACACTTATGCCCCCTCCCCCAAAATTGTAATTTTTTTAAGAGTCCAAAAGGGCATAACTTCGTCATAAATGGTGTGAACGTACCCAAAACAAACTTAAGGTAAGATCTACTAAATGAAAGATGCCTACAGATTTATCAAATTTGAGAAATAAATTCCTTAAATGATGCTTTATAACCATGATAACTTTAGCTTGGTCAAATTTGGTGTTTCGGGGCATAAATTGTAGATAAACAAGATGAAAAATCATATTTTAAACTGTCATTTTCAATTAATAGTTAAGAAAACCAGCCATGAATGTGAGAGTTTTTTTTTTCCATTTCAGACATAGAAATAATGCAGATTGCCTACAGTCTTATAGAAAACAGTAATTTGTATATTCTTGGCCTCTTCTTTTCAAAAATGTCAGATTTAATATAGGTGTCAGGACTACTTTTCATGTGATTTCAAATTGAATTCCATGAAAATACATTATTTTCTAAATATTAATTCTATTAGAGTCGTAATTAAAGTATGGGAAAAAAAAGTTGAGAGTGATTATATATATATATATATATAATGACGTCATAATCATGATAATTGAACTAGCACCAGAAAGTTAGTCTTAAAACATTTACTAGATCTTGACCTCAACCCAGATATTTATCTGATAATTCTTTAAAATAAATTTCATTTCAGTATTTGCAACAGCTCTGAAGGAAATGAACGGAAACTGCAAATAATTGGTTTTTTCTAAGTCCAAGGGGCAAAACTCCTTGGCGCGATCATACCCAAAACAGAACTTGACCTAAATATTAATCTGGTATATCAGTATACCAAATTTCATTTCAATATGTGCAACAGTTGTAAAGGAAATGAACGGAAACTGCAAATAATTGGTTTTTTCTAAGTCCAAGGGGCAAAACTCCTTGGCGCGATCGTACCCAAAACAGAACTTGACCTAGATACTCTTATGATAAAGTGGTATACCAAATTTCATTTCAATATGTGCAACAGTTGTAAAGAAAATGTACGGAAACTAAGAAGACTGACAAACCAACAGGCAGCAGCAAAGCAATAAGCCCTCCCTTCTTCAAAGGGGGACATAATTAGATTTTTTTTACCTACCCGAAGTTGCTTTAATTAGGTTCTATATCAATTTAATACTTTTTTTAAAATTACATATTTTTTTTCATAATATGCAGAAAATAGGACCTTGATGCATTGATCAGTTTAAACTTCAAATCCCCTGTAAATATTAATGAAAATGTCTGTCTTCACTTGAAAATGAATCTTAGACTAAAAGTTTGGGGGCTGAATACAACAGTCAAACAAAACATTTAGGCCTACTTCTTGAATGGAATAACAAGGAAAACAAGTTTAGGTTTACATGATAATTAATTCATAAATATGTACATTTGCAAATGTTTTCCTTTACATAAGTCATAACACCACTGAAATCAATTCGTGGTATCACCATACAAATACAGGTTCCTTGAACGTCATAAACATTTGACGTAATGTCTCAGTGACATCATAAAGTGTTGATGGCATTCAAGTTTACTGTTGTATAAATCTATGAAAAAGAAACATTTCACACATTAAAAGTCATAATCAGGCAAATATAAAATATGAATAAGTAACAAATGTAAATATGATTAATAAGGTATCATTGTAAACATCTCATAGGCCATAAATAAGGTGAACAAGGTAATTGATAAGTAATCATGGTATTTATAATTCCGGCTTTTAAACATGTGTTAAATAAGGCCATCTTTAAAAAATTGTTGATATTTTTCAGAAAAAAAAATTCCTAACTTACCTTTTGATCCAATTATTCTTACCCTGAGTAGAGAGATGACAAACCAACATTTATATTCTAAAAATGGCTTAGATAATGTGATTTTTTGTGTTTACTTACAGATGAAGTGCCTCCATTGGAGGACATGTCAGAAATCTTGCAACAAGCAGAGGTCATCAGGTCAAAGGTTAATAGTTCACAGGGTAAACAGTCTGTTGACCCCAGCCCCAGGGGAGCAGTTCCACAGAAGGGTCAGGGTACTAAGGTAAGGGATTGTATACATACCGGTAATGGACATCTCATCTTCCATAGAAAGATAAACTGGAGATGATTTACATGTACATGTATCATTCTCATTGACAACCAAGCTTAAAAAATTCTTTGTTTGCAGTTGTCGACCTTTAATTTTTAGACTGGATAGGAAGGTAGGCATTCTTTTTTTTTTTTTTTTTTAAAGTTATTTTAAGACTTTTGTTAGAAAACATAAAATAGATTTCTTCATAGGCCTACTATACATGAATACATTCCACCCTTGGTATAAACTACTGATTGATTAAGAAAAAAAATGAAAACGGCACAGTTTCAATATCCTGAAAAATTTGGGAAAAAAAATGTTACAAAATGGCTAAAAAAATGTTTGGGTCGGGCGCATTTTCAGAGGGACGATAGGCAACTGCAAAGTTAACAAACAATATTTTATTTTAGGCCCAGTCTGTTAAATTTGATGCAAAGATGATTGATTTGGGTTAAGTATTAATAGCAATAAGGTTCTGCCCTGTGAAGACTCCCTTTATTGAAAGTTACAGATAGGTTAGTCAGTGGCTTAGAAAACTGAGATAAAGAAATATAAAGTTTGAAGGAAGGAATTTCTTTAACTAGTTCGTGGCAATTTGTTCTAATTTGCATCTTATTTTTCAGTAATTGACTTTTAAATTATTTGATTGAGATTTACACCATTTATAAGTACAAAAACTAGGCTGAATACACGTACTAGAAATTATAAAACAGCAACTTATAAATGAAGGAAAAATATGAATTTTTATTTTTGTAGAAACCAAAGGAAAAATCATCAGATACTCAAAAGGTAAAATCAGCTGAGAAAAACGCGAGCAGTACACCTTCAAAATCTTCTTCATCCAGTTTTGGGGGGTTCAAAAAAGGATTTTTATTCAGAGGAAACAATTCTTCAAAGTCAAACTCAAAAGCGACGAGTTCGTCTCCCTCCGGATCAGGTGCCAGGAGTTCATCTGACCTTCCTTATATAACAAAGAAGTCTACCAGTGAAAGTCGTACACTCCCAGAGGTTCAACAAACATTGTCTGCAGAGGCTCAGAAAATAGCACAAAACAAAGGTAAGATGACTGCAGAGGCTCAGAAAATAGCACAAAACAAAGGTAAGATTGTCTGTCGAGGGTCAGAAAATAGCACAAAACAAAGGTAAGATTGTCTGCCGAGGCTCAGAAAATAGCACAAAACAAAGGTAAGATTGTCTGTCGAGGCTCAGAAAATAGCACATAACAAAGGTAAGATTGACTGCAGAGGCTCAGAAAATAGCACAAAACAAAGGTAAGATTGACTGCAGAGTCTCAGAAAATAGCACAATACAAAGGTAAGATTTGTCAAAGAGTAGCAAATAATGAAGATATGGTTATTATGGAAAATAGAACAAAATAAAACTTCAGTTGATAGCAAAAGCACAAAACAAAGGTTAAATTTGGTCGTATAAAAAGGTACACTGATCAAATATAGCTCACCTAGGTGAGAATTTAGCATGCATTACATTACTTGTACATTGTTCATAATATTTGTAATGATTTGTTGTGTTGACGTAAATGCTGTAACAAGATAAAGATTACATACAGGCATTCTCAGTCTCAGTTCATTAACTAATGATTGCTCTTACTTCTAGTAGGACAGGTACACCTCATTAGAACTTCAAATTCTTCCAAGTATAACAGACTTGAATGAAATATATGATCTTGTTTGTAATCAAACAGATGAGTGGTTGACTGATGTCCTGATGAAGAAGATTGAGGCTAACGACGCGTTGTTTAAGAAGCTGGGAGATCCCAGGTATGTGGAAACCGTCAACCAATTCCAGACCGACCCGGTCAGAGCGATGGAGCAGTACAAAGACAACAAGGAAATCCAGGACTTCCTCACCTCATTCTGCAAAGTCATGGGTAAATTTTTATCACAGGGAATTATGATAAATTATTATCATGGGGAATCATGGGTAATTTATAATAGGGAATCATGGGTAAATTATTATCACAGATAATCATGGGTAAATTATTATCACAGGAAATCATGGGCACAGCTGCTGCAACGTTATTGTTGACAACTTACACGAACGATCACGTTACACGAACGATTCCGCACGATTAACGCACGATTAAACCTGTTACACAAACGATCTCTCATGCACACGATTCTACATGTTACACGATCTTACACGATCGCTAATGCAAACGCATGATTCTTCACTCAAAATAGTTCAAAATATTTAGGAATCCATATTTTCAAAACGAAATACAACTTAATACTCATTAAAGATTTCAAAGAATTATCAACATTATTTCATAGACTTTGAAAAAAAAAATAGGAAATTGATATTTTTGTAGCTAGGTACATGTAAGAATTAGGGAATGAATATCTTCTAATTTGGTATTTGCGACCGTTAATGCTGATTTAAGGG